TTCCGATATACTGGATCCTTCTCCTGCCTATCATGGTCCCGGTCCTGGCCTTCTACACTTTTCCAGCTCTAAATCTCAGCATCAGGCTCATCATTCATCTCTTCCTCTTCATGTGCCCGAACAGAGTCCTGGCCCACTTCAACAAGATGTCAGACAAAATGTCAAGGTTTAAAAGGAAACTCCACCTGAATGAGATTGGTGGTGAAGAGAAGTTCCAAGGAAAGGAAAATATGTCCAAGAAAGAAGTTTGTATTCAACTTTGTATCATCATCATGTGTCTCACATCCTTCTGGTCCCTCACATTCCTGTTGATGGAGTGCCTCTCATTCTTCGTGGAAGTTGGAGTTTACACTCTAATGGGCATCATCGTCAATGCTGGAGCTACTCTGCAGTATGTTACCGTGATCTTCCTTATAGGGATGTATGCCAAAAACGCCTTCAGTGGAGTTCATTCAAAGTATCTGGATTACCACAAGATCATCAGAGGTCAGTTGCTGAGTAGGAAACAGGAGGAAATGAAGCAGACAGCCAGACAAGATTCTGACGTCCAGAAGAACACTGTGTTCCGTGTCCAGAGTTCACATAATGCTGCTGACAATACTTCAGGGATAGGAATTGAAATGAAAGATGGAAGTCTAAGATGGAAGACAGAAGGTCTACTGGTGTTTCTAAGCAGCATCGATCAGCCTTTGACACCACAAAAGTTCTTCTTTGAGACAATAAATATGAACTACTGTGGTTGTCCTGGGAAGTTATGGCAGAATACTCTATATGCCTTCTACAACTTTATGAAGATAATGGTGTTTCTATTTTTCGTGGTGATTGTGGTGCTTGCCTTTGGAAACCAGTTTTCCACAACCAACCAAATGTTGGCAACTTTAGCTGGTGGATTTGTTCCCTTTGTTTTCAGGAATTTCTTCATGAAAGGAGCAGGTTCCTTTACAGTTGATACAGGAAGTATTCAATTCGTGACCGAATTTGAGAGCACCATTGCACGTTATACGCAGACATGGTTTGTGGCTGACATAATTCCACCAAATGTGGATGGAGACATTTTCGATGATGAAATAGAGAGAAATGGACGAGCAGATGCAAGTCGCGATTCCAATACAGATATCAATGAAACTTCATCACCCAGTGGGTCACATGGCCCTCATGATTGTCATATTGAAATAGATTCTGAAGGATCGAATCTTGAAGAAACTGAGGTTGATTTAATCATTGATGGTGACCCTAATCTCTGTCCGGTTGGGTCATCACTGAATGAAGGCTCCATGTCTATGTTGGATGATGGCAAGACTCCAATATATAGGCCTACGGGTCAAGGGGGTGTAATTGTTGTGTAGTCCTACATTATCATTTTCACAATAATGAAAGTTGGACGTTAGAATTCATTTCTCCATGAGGTGTCAAGCGACAAAGGAGGTACTTCTGTGTCGAGAGTATAGTTTGTACTGTGTCAGGTCCTTGACACTTAAAATTAATGGTTGTTATAAATATCAGTTCAGTACACCTTAATGCAAGATTAGATTCACAGTGTTAAACACTCATAAGCTTGTTAAATTATTTCTAGTATGTTATTATTTTGTGTTATTGTACAGCCTTATCAAGATTTGCTACTGACTAGAATATTCCTCTCCTGCTGTATGCAAACCTGGTGTCAATCGCAATTCTCTTTGCTTCATAGAAATACACTGTGTAGAGTGAAATTCTTGTTGTGAACATTTCACTCATGACCGAACATGTTAGAGTACTTGGTAGGATCAGCTGATTGTATTGCTTTCTCCCGAGTTGGTTGAAAAAAAACTGTTGAAAAATCTTTTTTCACATTTTGTCTGCCAAGGAAATGTGGAATCCTTGTTAAATCCCTGATTAAATACCAACCTTGAATTTACAAGCCACCCGTCAGTGCAGTGAATGGCGAAATAGGAGGCTATTTTCAAAATTTACTATGAAAAGCAACTTTTTGAACATGTATAACGGTGTCGTAAAAGTCTGTTGCCTTTGTTGAATTAATTCCAAGAAATGATTGAACGCATATTTACTACATTGGATAGATGTCTGCGTATATATACCTGAATTACATTTAGAGTCTGGAGTTGCAAATGAAACCATGCCTTAAAATAAAAATTTGTTGGTATTGCTTTCAAACTGATCACTGGCAGTAACCATATTGAGGCAGTAACCAGTCAATCGGTTCAATACGTGTTATCCAAATAGTATTTTTGGACAAAATTGTTTCCCAGTTGATCCAGTTGTGCCATGATAGAGCTAAAATAGTGTTGTTTCTCAGCATAGATTTTGAATTGCTTTTGAAATCATGTCTGTAGAAGACAAATTTGAATATTTGAGCAACAATCCAAACCATCATCCATTACCACACGATGCCCATTGTTTTCGTCTCTTTTCGACTAGAGCGAAAGAGCTTTTCTACAGATACTTTTAAAAATTACAATGTTTCATTGTCTAGTACCTGCTCTTTCTTGAAATTCAAAACCTTGGTCTCCCCAAAGTTCTTTTTCTCCAAATTTGACGCAACAATGCTGTCTGATCCACTCCCCTTTTTTGCTTGTACAGTATGTTCCTGTGTTTTTCAGATGAACACTTGACTTGCCTGTGCATGTATTTGTGACGTGTGCCAACCGTGGGGCAGGATACGCTCACTTTTTCTGGAATACCTGGAATCATCACTATTTGATAGTGATTAATGTACACATTCTCATGATATAGTCGGATTCGTTCCATTGACTCAAATGGTTATGGAAAGGGTTTTGTCGCTTTCTTTTATTATTAAAAAATACCTTATAGCCACAATCGTGGAAGTTTTTTAATATCACCATATTCATTTGGAAATTGACATTGAATAATCTTTCTTTGGGGTATTTGGAACGTTTTGATATATAGTCACAATGAATAACGCCGATGGTGAGTGATTTTGTTTGGTTAAACGTCTGTATGGGCAATATTCCAGTTATACCACAGACCCTCGCCCACCTGTGGTGGGAAAGCCTGACGTAATCCAGGTCATAGATGTTTAACCCTTGGGTGAATGGGTACAGTGCTGGCAGACCAAGAATCATTATGTTAGCGAATCTGGGATCCGAATCAACGAATCCTGACTCGATCAAGGGACGTAACTCTGAAATGCGTGTTGGGACGCCTAAGATCCCTTGGCTACTCCTGTCCCCTGAGAAATCCGAGAGAGTGAAGTAAAGCAGGATTTGCATGACGTTTTTTTTTTAAGATTCGAGAGACTTCATTGCTAAGAAAAATTCTATCTACCAGGAATTGCCAATCATTATTAAACTGTACGCCAGACAGAAATTTATATGTTTCCACCTGAAAATATTTTGGGAGAGAATTTAGTAATATAAAATATATTTTACGTGCGCTTTGATGACTTCATCAAATACATGGTCACAGAATATGAACATTCTATCAGTTATGCCATATCGTCTCGTCCATAACTCGCGGTTTTTAGGCTAAAAATCTTTGCAAGGTTTCGCGATTGAACATACTAACAAATTCACTCCAACAGCAAAATATCTTAAAGCCCCGATCATGCATTTTATACTTACCAAAATAACAACATTTAAATTAAATTGCATGCAACAACGTATTGTTTGATCCAATTCGATTATTTACAGACCGCGTCATATACCTGGAAAAGTGATGAATGTGGTGTTAAACGACAAACAAACAAATTGATACCATTATCCGTAATGGCGGATTATCGGACCAACATGTGGCTGCCCTCATGTGTGTATTGAAAGTCGGTTCTTTTCTACCAAATTTTAGTATTATCCTGTTGTTCATTGTCTAGTCAAGGAGGACATTCATCACCACAAAACAGGGTTGTTTGTTATGTTTTTTGACGTCACGCTTTAACGTGAACCCGTCTTTTGGGTCAGGAGCATCCAGATTAATGAGCATCCTGAATTACCTTTTGTATTATATGTCTAATGTTTATTATGATACATTCCCTTGACCCATGCGCCACCATAGCTGAATTCCGAAAGTGACATCACCATCTCAATTTCTCGTATCACAAATATCACAAAGCACAGAATACCTCTCGCTCATGAATGTGATTTAATTGGACGGTTTTGTTTATTACAGTGTCATTGGAGTCTTAAAACCAGGTTATGGTAGAAAATAGGCTAGGGTATTTGTCATGATGGAATAGATATATAATACCCTGGATGACTGAGGATGAGTCATGATTATGTCAAATGCCCGGTAACGGTTACCCACGGGACATATAGTCAGCGTGTCGGATTTATTATTATGCAGAAGCTAAGTACCCGCACTCACATGTGTTGAACAAGGCCACCACAATCGAGTTTCCATTAAAGGGTTTTAACATTCATACATTTAAAAGAACATCGGCTTGTGAAAAACGTCCAGGCTTGTTTAAGTAGATTAAAGTTCCTGATTAGCTTACGTGGGTCGCCCAGAGGGTATTCAATTCACACATCTAACCGGATTTGTTGCATTCATGGATTCGTGTAAGGTATTAACAAAATACATGTTTGTCGCCAGTAATAGACTTCCCCCTAGACTAATCACCTTCTTTCTTAGAGGAGCGTGAGAGTGAATATTGTTTTCGCCGCAGTAAGCAGCGTTTATCAAGGTAGCCGTAAACAACCAAGCCATGTCCCTACACAGAATATATGTGAGCACGTGTACACAACGCGAATGGTAATCCATATTTGTGTTTCCAAGGAGACCACATCAGTCTATACCATATTGAAGTTCAAAACATCCCGGACTCAGTTGCCCTGGCAACCACTTAAGTAACTCTTAACTCCGGATATGACTTGCCGTTTTGCATCTAGTAATATATCCATGTTCAAATAGACAATTATGTTTATATCCTTCTGTTATCGGGATTTAGTCCGATCACTCTGAAACAGTTTGGACGTATTTGGTTATTTTGGACATGGAAGTCGCCATGCTGAAGAAAGAGAGATATAATTATGATACGGAAGAGTGTTATCTAAACTACCCACACAGGTCAAACACAACGATGTCAACTGACATGGATTCGAAACAAGGACTTATTTACCCGATATGTGCACAACACACATGCATCTTTGCAGATCACACATGATCTGCATCTATACACGTGACATTTTCAGCAGTCAACGGTTTGACGAGGCGAGTGACGCGCGATTACAACCTGTGACCCAAAGCGTACACACCTGTTTGCCTACCGACATGTTGCTAGGACAGATAATATTGTGGGGCTGTTTTACTATAACTGCTTCTGCAGCGAAGCGCGACCGTTAGCCAGGTAAACTACGATCGATGCTGACGTGAAAGCTATGAACTGAGCGAAGGCGAGATAAAACTTTCCTTCTATACAACACCGTGCTTGTATCTTGGCGATTGCTTGAATTCTAAGGCAATGGGGTTCAGCTGAGCAATGTACCAACGAGTTGACCTGAGGTCGTTCGTCACAGGTGACTTAGCCATGGAGACGCTCTTTAACACAGCTTTGCAGTAACACTGCATTACCAGGCTTACCGTGCGGTGTGCCTCCCATCAGCTTTTCATATCAAATAGACCTCAGTCGTGCAGGCAGACAAGCAACATGGCGGTCTCCTGGTGCATACATGTTGCTTGTACCGTGTTGATGTTTGAACTTGTTTTTGCTGCAACAACAGCATCGTCGAACAGCACCAGCAATACAACGACTGTAACTACAGCTTCACAACCCACGACGATATTTAGTGATGGAAAATGTGAGTTTTTCCTTACGAATTCAAAAACCCGTGATGAGCTAAGCGAGGCTTTGAAAGGTGGAGTGAGAATGATAAAGTACAACGTGAAATTCAAAGGTTACCCTGGTGACGTATTAATTGCAGAAGGAGGGGATTTATTTCGACCGAATCTATGGATCAGATCTACTTCAAGACAAGGACAAAGTTTGTTGATGTTGGATGACAACTTTGAAATGTTATCGTTGTCGTTACTTGGAATAGGAGTCGTGTTGATGGACGTGGAACTTCACGAGAAACCACAAGGATGTATGAATCATCTGACCCCCGAGGAACGAGAGAACAGTACAAGGTACATGGTATTTAATGACTTTAAGTTACCTGGCCCAGGTGAGAAGAGTCGAAGTCTGAGTAAAAAGGAACGAATATGCAACATGAGAATAGTCCCAGAGAACGATAAAGCTAACTTTGTGTATCACTGTTGTCATATTGATCCAGATGGGAATGAAATATGTGAAGATGTTCATCGCGACTTATGGATTAATGTTCTTCTGATTTGCATCATAATCATCAAAGTCATGGTCGTTCTGTACAGCCCAACATTTGTCCCAGAAACCTTTTACAGGAAGAAATTCACAGCAACAGAATATGTTCATCATATTCCCCCAGATAAGAAGAAAAAGAAACTTAAAATCGTGAAGACCATGTACCCAGGCTCCTACACCAGTGAAAACCCTCCGATCAGACTCGAGAAGATCGAAGGACTGGAATATATGAAGCTGTCACTTAACAGTCTGCAAGTTGACAAAATATATGACGTAAAACTCGATCGTATTCAACTGTTAGTGAAGGCGAGGAAACTGTTATCCGAGACGTACGTCCCTGTGTCTGTTACAAAAATGATATATGAGAACATATTCCGCTGCAAAATGAGGAACCTCCCATCCCTCAAACCATGTTGTGATACTGGAATCTGTGGCGTTATTGACGTTGGCTGCAAGGTGTTAACCTGGTTCAGATGTTTGAGAATTTTTGCCAAATTGATCCTCATTGGTCTCCTGGCCATCCCGTGGATTATTCGACTTGTTATGTACTTCACATACGAAGCTGCTATAGTGGAGGAGAAAAACGAAGCTGCTGAACGTTTTCAAGCTGGCATGCACTTCCATGGCAGTTTTACGCTCTATCTAACCCCACTCCATGGACTGTTTGTAGCTATTTACATCATAGTCTCCATTGATTCCTTTGCGTATGGACTCCTTGGAACAGCAATGAAAAATCGATTCAAGTTTATTCTGAGAAAATGTCTGCGTGACATGCGTGAACGATCCCGTTCATCTGCATATGGATGGGCAGTTGCTCTTGCTCTTCTCCCCTTCAAGAGATTTGGATTGATTGGTTTCCTCCTGGTCCCGATATACTGGATCCTTCTCCTGCCTATCATGGTCCCCATCCTGGCCTTCTACACTTTTCCAGCTCTAAATCTCAGCATCAGGCTCATCATTCATCTCTTCCTCTTCATGTGCCCGAACAGAGTCCTGGACCACTTCAACAAGATGTCAGAGAACATGTCCAGTGTTAAAAATAATCTAAACCTGAAGGACATTGGTGAGGAAGAGGAGTTCCAAGGAAAGGAAAATATGTCCAAGAAAGAAGTTTGTATTCAACTTTGTATCATCATCATGTGTCTCACATCCTTCTGGTCCCTCACATTCCTGTTGATGGAGTGCCTCTCATTCTTCGTGGAAGTTGGAGTTTACACTCTAATGGGCATCATTGTCAATGCTGGAGCTACTCTGCAGTATGTTACCGTGATCTTCCTTATAGGGATGTATGCTAAAAACGCCTTCAGTGGAGTTCATTCAAAGTATCTGGATTACCACAAGATCATCAGAGGTCAGTTGCTGAGTAGGAAACGGGAGGAAATGAAGCAGACAGCCAGACAAGATTCTATGATCCAGGAAAACACTGTGTTCCGCGTCCAGAGTTCGTATAACGCTGCTGACAAAACTTCAGGAATAGGAATTGAAGTAAAAGATGGAAATCTAAGATGGACAACAGAAGGTCTACTGGTGTTTCTAAGCAGCATGGATCAGCCTTTCACACCAGAAAAGTTCTTCTTTGAGACAATAAATATGAACTACTGTGGTTGTCCTGGGAAGTTATGGCAGAATACTCTATATGCCTTCTACAACTTTATGAAGATAATGGTGTTTCTATTCTTCGTGGTGATTGTGGTGCTTGCCTTTGGAAACCAGTTTTCCACAACCAACCAAATGTTGGCAACTTTGGCTGGTGGATTTGTTCCCTTTGTTTTCAGGAATTTCTTCATGAAAGGAGCAGGTTCCTTTACAGTTGATACTGGAAGTATTCAATTCGTGACCGAATTTGAGAGCACCATAGCAAGATTTACTCAGAAATGGTCTGTTTCTGATATTATTCCAGCATCTATCACTGAAGCTGGAGTACCACTGGAATTAGCAGAGGAGGTGAAGCCAGGGGATGATGGGGGAAGAGAAGAAGAGAGCGAAATCGTGCATCCAGATAACAACAACGCTGAAAACAAAGACTCCTCACCCCTAATTGAGTCCAATGAGACAAAAGACATAAGACTTGACGTTGATTCTGATGACTCGGAGTTTGATGAAACTAAGGTAGATTTAATCATTGACATAGCCAGGTTTGATAAATTAAACCGTCGTATCGGCATAGAAGGGTCGTTGGTTAATGTAGGCTCCTTGTCAATGTTGGCAGATGGCAATGCTTCAATATACAGAACTCCACAACACACAAATACATTTGTTGTGTAGTCTTCCTTTTATATCGATCTTTATTTAGTTATTTTATTCTGATGAAGAAATAAGGAAACACACACCAATACCACTGAATATAATGTTACTGTTGTATTCATTAAAACTGATTCAGATTTGTCCAAGTGTAAAGTTTTTGAAATGTGAAAAGTATTCCTCGTGTTCTCAAAATTGCCAAATAATCTCTGGAATTTCTAGCCAAACGCAGGCATGCCTTCCAAGCCGTTCACTTATTTCACTTTACCAGTTTATTACTTATGTCATGTGCAGGTTGTCATGTAAACCATTGTCGACATATATAATCTTATCAAATGATCTATATATTTATATATTATTCTTGTACAACTTGATTCGGTCACGGTATGGCTGAAATACTGCCGATGTGACTATAAATCTGAACTCGCTCACTCACTATCAAATGATTTTACTTATTATGTAGGAGTTGTTGCATTAGAGGGGAACAAGAAACTGAAGTAAGACGCTAGGTCTTTTGATTTCTTGTAACATAATCAGTGCAAATCTTGGTCTTAGTATTACAGGTTATATTATGTCTCAACAATGCCTATTATGCGTAGACACGCAACTGCCTACTTATCAAGTTCCACTTCAATCTTACACTACTTACAGCGTTGTAAAGATTAGATGCCGATAGGTGAATGTGGAAGTATTGTATTCACATACATAGGTTCAGTTACTGTTAGCGTGTACAAACCACTTATAATTAGTAATATACTGTATTCACATATATGCTGACCCGTGAAGATCCGGGATAGAATAGGTCTTCAGCAACCCATGCTTGCCGTTAAAGGCGACTATGCTTGTCGTAAAAGGCAACTAACGGGGTCGGGTGGTCAGGGTCGCTGACTTGGTTGATTCATGTCATCGATCCCAATTGCGTGGATCGATGCTCATGATATCTATCACTGGATTGTCTGGCCTGGACTCGATTATGTACAGACCGCCGTCATATAGCTGGAATATTGCTGAGTGCGGCGTTAAACAACAAACAAACAAACAAACCACATATATGCTTAGCATTTCCATATGGAATGAACAACAGTTGTAAGCATTTGGAATTTTCAAGTCGTCTATAAACAACATTGAATTCTGGGGTGATACTTAAAAACAAAAATTTGACTTGGTTATTTTACAAGGTAAAAGCAGGTGTGACAGCATGCTTTTATTATCAAGTCGCCCATAAACAACATTGAATTCTAGAGATATCGTTAAAAAACAGAAATTGCACTTGATTATTTTAGGTGATAGCAGCTGTAGTAGAAAGATATCCTACTTAGTCACTGTATATATAACATGTATCATTACTAGACTTTAATGCATACACTGCCAGCTTATGTGTCTCTTCAAATCAATACAACCCTGAATACAATTGTACATACCGCACACAATAGCCTGATTATATGTTCGGGTAAATGCATGTGTAGTGTAATATAGGCGTGAACCACGATCCATAAGCAGCATTCATTGTAATACATGCTGTACGTATGTCAAGCGTGGTGTTGGTATATCCATAGAGACATTGCCTAGACCAAGGACAGGTAGATGCATGTGTAGTGTAGTATAGGCGTGAACCACGATCCATAAGCAGCATTCATTGTAATACATGCTGTACGTTTGTCAAGCGTAATGTTGGCATATCCATAGAGACATTGCCTAGACCAAGGACAGGACCGACTGATATGTTGCACTCAGCATCCCACCTGTGCATCAATATGTAGACTGTGTAGTATCACATTGTTGTATATGTAATTGAATTACATCGGCAGCTGTTACATGACCTTGGAATAAGTTATAACTGGTTCATAAAATGACAGACTAAACCTTGAAATTACCATAAGAGTGACGGAAGAGATATCAAAGCATAGCACGGATATTGATGAGACTGCATAATTGTGTAGCTTAAAACAGGCAGTTGCGTCCATGTTACATGTGAAGCCTTAAAGTACATCCTTAATGTAACAATAGTTCCTTGTTGGCTGGGTTCAAATATAGGACGCAAAACCAGGAAACCAGAACCAATCTTATTTTCAAATTGAACCATCCTTCCAGCAGTATCAACGTAACACGTTCCTGTGAGGCAGAGAAAAGGGCATAGGTTAGAGTGAGTGGGTATGGTTTTACGCCGTGTCTAGCAATATTCCAGCAATATCACGGCGGGGGATACTAGAAATGGGCTTCACACATTGTACCCATGTCGGGAATCGAACCCGGGGCTTCGGGGTGACGAACGAACGCTTTAACCACCAGGCTACCCGACCGCCTCCGTATAGGTTAGAGACAATATGTAAGTACTCCCGAAACTGAAACGAAAGGTTTCAGTTATATCATAAATAACATTTTACCACTCCATTTAATGTTAGAACACCCTCATCCCATCACCGTTAAGCAGTCAGCTGGAGGAAGAACTGAATTAATTCGAAAGAAGCAGGGAGTGTATGTAAATGATATATGGATGCCGTGAAAGCAGTATTCTGTCCCTGATGAGATTTTTAATATATTTTCCGTAATTGTCAGATGTTTTCAATGTTATGAATGTTATGCTTGGTAGAAAATGTGCATGTCTCGAAAAAATAGAATAGTCTATCCTTTAGCCTGTGTAATCTGCTTATATGCTAGAGTCTGAGTGAAGCCATGTGATTAATGTTAAGTGTGTGGGATCATGATGGTTGACAGATAAATTGATCTGTCCTATCCATGGTTATTTTTTTAATGTTAACGCACCGAATGACACAACATATTTGACTTTCAAATACATACCACTGATGTTCATTCAATCTCGCGCCTTCACACATGCCATTATCATTTTCAAATTCTCATATTTGCTTTTGTAATGTAAATATATTGCATGTCCTTTACCTCATGACATGTACAACGCGTATTACGTGAAATCCAATAGGGTACAAAGTACCCAATGCTATACAAGTTATAGACTACGCTGGAATCAATAGCGCTATTGACATCTGTCTCGCTTGGTTTTGCTTCGGCCAGACTTCAACTTTTTGATACTGCGTGTTCGTGCATATTCATAAAGATCTCTGAATACAAGTGTATGGTGCTATGAACTGACAAATCAAATATCCTTTAAGCATAAATAATTTAAATAAATATTGTTTATTATTGTCTGTACATGAACTGCAAACACGTGTGAGTCGATCATTATGTTTATGTCGTTGTTGACAGGAGAATTGAATATATTAAATCATGTTTGTTGACTACATGAATGTTTAAAAACTATATTTTACTCAGTTGTGTGTTTTACCTGAAGTTCAAGTATTTCGGTGACTGTTTTCAGCCTAGTAACGTTTAGATAACCTTTGTGATTTTTTGGTCATGTCTATGTGCATATATTCTTTTGCCTGGCAGTTTATTTTCATGACATGTGTCAGAAATTGTCTTCCAGAATGACACCACCTCCAATATTCCAATTAAATAACACGTTGCTGTACATTCGCTTTCTCTCGTCCGTTTCCGAGAAATGTTCATGACACACATTTCATGCAGCGAAAATATAGAATGCTAACTCGGTTGTACAGTGCAGTATGTTAACTGTTTGGTCAGTTCACTTATTAACTTCTATCAGGTAAGGCTTTATTCTCTTGTGGTTGCAGTCTATATAAAATGCATTTGATTAATTACTGATTTAAAAAAGGTTTTTGGTAAGGTATTTTTATAGTTCTATCTGTGTAGTTTCGAGTCACGCCAAAGGAAGACCGGTTGAGAAATTAAAAATAAATTCTAAACTATTTTCACATAATTGTGTGAAAAGATGTTGCCTAATGTGAAGCCTATAACCCATCTAGCATAATAACGTCAAGTCATTCGTGCGTCTGTGCCACATGGCATGCGTTACAATATAGAGCTCAGATTGCTTGTGAGACATCATCCTCCCGAGGCAAGAGAGTTAACTGACTTTAAAAGTCCAGTTTCCACACTGGACTTTTATAGTCAGTTACCTCTCTTGCCTCGGGAAGATGGTGAGACATATGTACATCTAGATGTGTTGTTGTTTGCTGTTTTACCAATCCCATCATGCCAACAGAGAGCATAATTCATTTACAGAACGAGTATTTAACCATCTATTTTCATAAAAAAGTACTTTCATATGCTCTTTACATTCCTATGCAATGACGTTAGAAATAAACCTGTTTCAAGTATCTGATGTTCATATGTTTTTATTGGTTCACATATGGGAATACCGTTGGACAATATTCCCCGTGAACACGTCATGCTTGATGCAAAGGGACCCGTGAAGATTCCGGGGTAGAATAGGTCTTCGGCAACCCATGCTTGCCGTAAAAGGCGACTATGCTTGTCGTAAAAGGCGACTAAAGGGATCGGGTGGTCAGGCTCGCTGACTTGGTTGATGCATGTCATCGATCCCAATTGCGTTGATCGATGCTCATGATATTAATCACTGGATTGTCTGGTCCAGACTCGATTATTTACAGACCGCCGTCATATAGCTGGAATATTGCTAAGTGCGGCGTAAAACAACAAAAAAGTGAAAAAAGTGGTGCAAAGGGGACACTAACAGGGATTTCATCACCTACCGGGGCAGTGACAAGGAAGGCACATCCGGGAATAAGTGCTTAGGATACTCTCAATCTCATTAAAATCAGATCTTAGTTCTCGCTACCACTAAACAAAGATCTGAGGACATCCCATTAAGGGTCACGTCAGAACGACCTTTCGTTAATTTTGACCGACCAATGAAATGACTGACAAGAATTCGACATAAGCCAATCAGAAGGCAGCATTCTCGAGCTTTACGACACTGGTTTCAAACTGGCGACGACTTTGGAAACATATTTTGATGCATTCTCGATTAAAAATGTCAAAACTGATAAGAAGAACATTTTGGAATGGCTTATAGATGGCCTAGATCGTATGGATATAATCATAAAAGCCGTTACTGTCATTCGGAATACCCCGTGTTAAATATTCCGTGGTTGCATGATCAGAAAACACATTCCGACTGTCACTTCATGATCTGGTAAGCGATGCTCTGATTGGTTGGAAAGGTCGTTCTGACATGACCCGTAATGGGATGTCCTCAGATCTTTGTTTAGCGATAGCGAGAACTAAGATCTGATTTTAATGAGATTGAGGATACTCTCTACGAAACACTTATTTCCTGACGTGCCCTCGCTACAGATGGAAAGGTTAGTATCGGTTCTCCGTTTGGTATTAAAGTATGGTACGTGCGAAACAGATGGTATGGGCACTACGTGTTATAGTGAGTGAGTTGTGTTTAACGCCGCTTTTAACAGCATTCCAGTTATATCACGGCGTGTCAGCTTAATGTGGGAGGAAAGCCCGAAGTGATGCAGATCTCAGACGTTTACCACTTCGGTGAAACCCACGAGCACGGGTATGGTGCTTACAAACCTAGAAACATAATTGGGGTGAACCGGGATTCGAACCCACAATCATAGGTTTCTGGCTTGCCCAAGGGACGCAACTCTGCACAGCGAATCGCGGAGCCTTAGACGACTAGGCCACCCGTGCCCCCCCTGCGTGTTATAACGATTCTACGTATGATAACGTAAATACGGATGCTACGTATGGATGCTACGTAAGATAATGGTAGTCCGTATGATAACTTAGTACGGTTAGTACGTATGAAAACGATGGGATGGTACTGTGTATGATAACGATGGTATGGTATTACCTATGCTTGTATGTTGTTTAACGCCGCCCTCAGCAATATTTCAGCTATATGACGGCGGTCTGTAACTAATTCGAGTGTGGACCAGACAATCCAGTGATTGACATCATGCGCATCGGTCTACGCAATTGGGAATACCACCCGATAATATAGCCTGATATGATTGTGGCCTGGGCATTCAATTAAATAATATTTCACTGTCAGGGGAATATTTTCATCACAGTGCATAGATACAGGGGAGACATGTATCCAAGGCGAAGTCTGATAATTATGGCTTCCTCGCGTTTCTTTCGTGTCGGCCAGCAGTCGATGGAGTCGAAATCGGTTGGATGGGGCTGAATTCTGCTATCGTTACCTCAGGATTTTGCAAGCCATATTTCGCAAGTTGATCTGCTGTCTCATTTCCATGCAACCAAACAGGAGCTGGAATCAACACTCGTAGTATATCACTCATAATATACTTAGAGTTAAAAATGCATCCAACTTTAAAATTTCATTAACAAATATCAGGTAAAAATTAGGTTTTATAAGAGTCTTTGAGTTCTCTGAAATCCCTCTGGACGTTTTCAGACCTACTAACAGTTTTAAATTGTTCAGCTAGTGCATTAGCCTTCTGAAAAGTGGTCACAATACTGCCGTCTAGACCTAATACATGTATAGGACAACGGCTGTGAGTACCACTGACACTTTTGATTTTAGAACACATAGGAGACAGTGGAGAACATCTGTTTATACTGGAAATATAGTTACGCCAGCTAGAGTGTTTGGTCGCACGATCAACACGTTGAGACTCGGCACGTTTCACCGTGAACTCATCCAGGTCACAGGGAAGTGAAGAATGAAACCCTATCCTTGGCTTGTTTTCTTGCTTTATTTGCCTTTCATATTCATCATTCTATCAAACTTGGGGGATGAACGTAGATCGCTTACTTGACGATTTTCCAATGGTTACCTGGGATATTTAAATGATTTATGAAGTAATGTTATCATTTGAAACTTCAACATCTTCGTTTATTAGATCAGACGTAATATGTTTCTCACAATGAGAAGGAGGCGGTCGGAAAGCCTAGTGGTTAAAGCGTTCGCTCGTCACGCCGAAGACCCGGGTTCGATTCCCGACATGGGTACAATGTGTGAAGCCCATTTCTGGTGTCCCCCGCCGTGATATTGCTGGAATATTGCTAAAAGCGGCGTAAAACCATACTCACTCACTCACAAAGAGAAGAAAAATCAGACCAGTTTGCATGTTTCAATTTCGATCGGGGAACGTGTACATTAAGATCTAAGCGGGCGTGCCTGGATTTCAGTGAATATTCGGAAGTGATCACTACCCGGAGCATCCTCTTGGAACACATCCCAGTTACATTTAGATGCTAATGGGGAATTGTAATCGAAAGGTCCAAGGCAGAAAACACCCATCTCCCCAAATCCATTCGGGTCATTTTACCATAATTTAAAATCACCAGGTCTGATTCATCTAAAACGTTTTCAACAGCTGTTCCATTGTACTCTGTTTTATTACTTCCACACAAAACATTGTGACTATCAAAATCACCACAAGTGAAATAGTGGGTACAATGCGTGAAGCCCATTTCAGGTGTCCCCCGCCGTGATATTGCTGGAATATTGCTAAAAGAGGCGTAAAACTAAATTCACTCACTCTCAAGTGAAATAGGATTCAAAATGATCCTCTGTTAATTTCATATAATTGTATACATTGAGTTTTTCAGTGTTGTAAACATTATCGCTGTGATATATTTAGTTTCGTCGAATACATTCTTAACAGGATTGACTTAAAAACAGTTTTAGGCAACTTATTCTCTTTGAAGGGCAAATCCGATTTTACAAATATTGCGCAGCCTCCCCTATGTGGATTAAAAAACAAACAGCCACATCGTCAACACACGTCTGACCTCGCCGACAGCCTAAAGCGGTCCTCTCGCAATGCAGCGTATACACAATACTGTTTACCTGTCTGTGAAGACCGAATCTCGCCTGTGACCAGCGTTATGTGACTAGCGTGGTCACCGTGACCCAACAGCATGGCTAAATACCAGATATACAACAGTCCCATTACTGTTGAAGTCGAAATGAATCATTTGACAGCCAGTGCGGAAACCTTTTTGCACGTTAACCTATATGTTTGACAACTGGACTAAATCTGGCTCTCTCTGTTATAGGCGTGGGCGGTCGGGTAGCCTAGTGGTTAAAGCGTTCGCTCGTCACGCCGAAGACCCGGGTTCGATTCCCGACATGGGTACAATGTGTGAAGCCCATTTCTGGTGTCCCCCGCCGTGATATTGCTGGAATATTGCTAAAAGCGGCGTAAAACCATACTCACTCACTCACTCACTCTGTTATAGGCGTGGGCGTTAAGTGTGTATTTCTATTAAATTGCCGTAGGGGTAGTCTTGTGGTTGAAGCGTTCGCTCGTCCCGCCGAAGACCCGGTTCGATTCTCTACATCCCTGCAATGTGTGAAGCCGATTCTGGCGTTCCCAACCCCCATGTGGTTTTTATATTCAGGGCCACGTTACAAAAGTGTCGCTTGAGCCTAAAAAAATATCAACAAAAGCACCAGACGAAAATCCCGAGTCAAGCCAGACAAATATCTTGTCCATTTTAGATTTTTTCCACGTTGATATCTGACTCTCTTCCAACGACGTGTACAGTGCGAGCATTAACAAGGTGAGTCACTATACCCCGCCATTCCATTCACACTGCACAATGACATAAGCTAATAACCCTGTCAAATAAACTAAGGCACCCTTGAGAACACAGCTTCACGTCTGTGTAAAATACACCCAAACCAAAAGCGGAAGACAAACCTCAGGCTTACTGGTAGGCAGGGGGGCGGTCGGGTAGCCTAGTGGTTAAAGCGTTCGCTCGTCACGCCGAAGACCCGGGTTCGATTCCCGACATGGGTACAATGTGTGAAGCCCATTTCTGGTGTCCCCCGCCGTGATATTGCTGGAATATTGCTAAAAGCGGCGTAAAACCATACTCACTCACTCACTCACTCACTGGTAGGCAGGCTGGTTTGTGACCTTAGAGATTCTGATACAGTAACAGTTGCAGGGGTCACACGGTTCAATGTGTAGGTGTCATTAAACACTTCGCACAACAGGGAGGTTTTTTATAGCACGGGGAAACGAGTCGGGTTCAGGTTGTCGCTGCGGTGTGGACATGCATGATTGACTGTGAACATCTTCACAGCAGTTGTCTCCCTTACATGATTGACGAGGCGGGGCAACTTGGAGGTTCAAGTGTTCCTTCCTCTACCCGGAGACCCGAGGGTGTTACCACAATCGCACATTTTTCAAGCTACTATTATTACTCCTGTGTTGGACTTGGGCCACAAAGTCCCTGTTGTGGGTGAACTCATTCACGCCCCGTGTCGGTATTACGAACACTGCACTTTGTTGTACAACAGTTAAGTTGTATTGAATAACAAGGATAAGAAATATACGATGTCCAGGCTCTTGCT